CCCTTTTCTTTATGCTCGTGTAGGATGTGGCACTGCCAAGACGGCAAGAAAGGCGTGCAAGAACTGCACGTGCGGACGGGCGGAGATGGAAGCGGCTGAAGTGGCGGGAGAGGGAGAGGGGGGGAAGGGGAAGAGCAAGCTGACCATCGACCAGATTGCTAACCCGGAGTCGGCATGTGGCAGTGTGAGTAGAGGTTTGAAAAATAGGCCGCAAGGCATGGATTGCTATGGGTTGGTATGGGTTGCTATGGATTGCTATGGATTGCTATGGGTTGCTATGGGTTGCTATGGGTTGCTATGGGTTGCTATGGATTGCTATGGGTTGCTATGGATTGCTATGGGTGGCTATGGGTTGCTATGGATTGCTATGGATTGCTATGGGTTGCTATGGGTTGCTATGGGTTGCTATGGGTTACTATGGGGTTGCTATGGGCTGCTATGGGTTGCTATGGGCTGCTATGGGCTGCTATGGGCTGCTATGGGTTGCTATGGGTGCTATGGGTTGCTATGGGTTGCTATGGGTTGCTATGGGTTGCTATGGGTTGCTATGGGTTGCTATGGGTTGCTATGGGTTGCTATGGGTTGCTATGGGTTGCTATGGATTGCTATGGGTTGCTATGGGTTGCTATGGGTTGCTATGGGTTGCTATGGGTTGCTATGGGTTGCTATGGGTTGCTATGGGTTGCTAGGGATTGCTATGGGTTGCTATGGGTTGCTATGGATTGCTATGGGTTGCTATGGGTTGCTATGGGTTGCTATGGGTTGCTATTAGACATGGGCAGCATGCCGAGCCTGGCTCGACTCGGCTCGACTCGACTCGCCTTTTTGGCGAGTCGAGCCGGGATTTTTTATTGGCCGGCTCGACCCGAGTCGAGCCGGGTCGAGCCAGTCGAGCCGCGCGGCTCGGCTCGACTCGTCGCAAATTTCATGGCGAGCCAAAGTCGAGGCCGGCTCGAATTTGGCTCGACTCCTGAAGAGCACGGCTTGCCAGCGGGGGGTCAAAATCCGTCCGCCCTGGAAGACGAAAATCCCTTTGGCGAGTCGAGCCGAGCCGAGCCAAGGTCGAGCCGACCCTTGGCTCGACCCTGAACCCACGAGTCGAGCCAACCATTTTGGGGCAGCCGGCTCGGGTCGAGTCGAGTCGGCTCGGCTCGACTTTTACCTGGCTCGAGGTCGAGTCGAGCCGAGTCGAGCCAGGCTCGGCATGCTGCCCATGTCTAGTTGCTATGGGTTGCTATGGGTTGCTATGGGTTGCTCAGGGTTGCTATGGGTTGCTATGGGTTGCTATGGGTTGCTATGGGTTGCTATGGGTTGCTTGCTATGGGCTGCTATGGGCTGCTATGGGCTGCTATGGGTTGCTATGGGTTGCTATGGGTTGCTATGGGTTGCTATGGGTTGCTATGGGTTGCTATGGATTGCTATGGGTTGCAATGATTGCTATGGGTTGCTATGGGTTGCTATGGGTTGCTATGGGTTGCTATGGGTTGCTATGGGTTGCTATGGGTTGCTATGGGTTGCTATGGGTTGCTATGGGTTGCTATGGGTTGCTATGGGTTGCTATGGGTTGTTCTGGGTTGCTATGGGTTGCTATGGGTTGTTCTGGGTTGCTATGGGTTGTTCTGGGTTGCTATGGGTTGCTATGGGTTGCTATGGGTTGCTATGGGTTGCTATGGATTGCTATGGGTTGCAATGGGTTGCTATGGGTTGCTATGGGTTGCTATGGGTTGTAACGGGTTGCTATGGGTTGCTATGGGTTGCTATGGGCCGCTATGGGTTGCTATGGGTTGCTATGGGTTGCTATGGGTTGCTATGGGTTGCTATGGGTTGCTATGGGTTGCTATGGGTTGCTATGGGTTGCTATGGGTTGTTCTGGGTTGCTATGGGTTGCTTTGGGTTGCTATGGATTGCTATGGGTTGCTATGGGTTGCTATGGGCTGCTATGGATTGCTATGGGTTGCTATGGGCTGCTATGGGTTGCTATGGGTTGCTATGGGTTGCTATGGGTTGCTATGGGTTGCTATGGGCTGCTATGGGCTGCTATGGGCTGCTATGGGCTGCTATGGATTGCTGTGGGCTGCTATGGGTTGCTATGGATTGCTATGGGTTGCTATGGGTTGCTATGGGTTGCTATCGGTTGCTATAGGCTGCTATGGGTTGCTATGGGTTGCTATGGGTTGCTATGGGTTGCTATGGGTTGCTATGGGTTGCTATGGGTTGCTATGGGTTGCTATGGGTTACTATGGGCTGCTATGGGCTGCTATGGGCTGCTATGGGCTGCTTTGGGCTGCTATGGGTTGCTATGGGTTGCTATGGGTTGCTATGGGTTGCTATGGGTTGCTATGGGTTGCTATGGGTTGCTATGGGTTGCTATGGGCTGCTATGGATTGCTATGGGTTGCTATGGATTGCTATGGGCTGCTATGGGCTGCTATGGGCTGCTATGGATTGCTATGGGTTGCTATGGGTTGCTATGGGTTGCTATGGGTTGCTATGGGTTGCTATGGATTGCTATGGGTTGCTATGGATTGCTATGGGTTGTTATGGATTGCTATGGGTTGGTATGGATTGCTAAGGGTTGCTATGGGTTGCTATGGGTTGCTATGGGTTGCTATGGGTTGCTATGGGTTGCTATGGGTTGCTATGGATTGCTATGGGCTGCTATGGATTGCTATGGGTTGCTATGGGTTTCTATGGGCTGCTATGGGCTGCTATGGGCTGCTATGGGTTGCTATGGGTTGCTATGGGTTGCTATGGGTTGCCATGGGTTGCCATGGGTTGCTATGGGTTGCTATGGGTTGCTATGGGTTGCTATGGATTGCTATGGGTTGCTATGGATTGCTATGGGTTGCTATGGATTGCTATGGGTTGCAATGGATTGCTATGGCTTTCTATGGGGTGCTATGGGTTGCGATGGGTTGCTATGGGTTGCTATGGGTTGCGATGGGTTGCTATGGGTTTCTATGGGCTGCTATGGGTTGCTATGGGTTGCTATGGGTTGCTATGGGTCGCTATGGGTTGCTATGGGTTGCTATGGGTTGCTATGGGTTGCTATGGGCAGGAGAGGGAGAGAAGGGGAAGGAGAAGAGCAATTTGACTATCGACCATGTTGCTAACCCAGAGTCGGCATGTGGCAGCTTGAGTGGAGCAGTAGAAATGTACCGCTTTCTTAGCTGACAGTTCACCAGGCAGTGTGGATGTGGCTGGTGCACTTGGCTCGTTATTATGTGAGTCTTACTCGTGATGCTAGTGTTGCTCGTCTACCCAACTATGGATCAAATCGGCAACAGGTACCTGATGCAAGTCTTACCCAAGTAAGACCTCCCCTAGCTCCGCTTGTGGTAATGTGATTGTTCCAGTTAGGCCCTTCTTTAAGTGCCTCAAGAATAGACTCCTGTTTTCATAGCTGACCCTTCGTGATGCCAGTCACTCGGATCCACATCCTCTGTCAGTGGTTGAGTACTCAAGTATTTGAGCTTTTCGTATGAGTATTACTTGTGGTGAGGGTGTTACGTTTTTATCAAATTGGACCCCCAGAGTTCACGTTTGTGGCAGTGTGAGTGTGGATTCCTGCCTGCTGTGCGCTTTGGCCAGCGCTTTCCCCCGTGCTGCGTTGATATCTCGCTGGTTGCAGTGTTAGGAATTCTCTCTCCCATGCTTTCCTGCCTTTAGTGTAGTTTGTGGGACGTTTTTTGCTGTGCCAGCTGCCCCTACCGCCAGCTGCCTGGATGGTTACAGTGTTACGATCTGCTTTGTTACACCCCGTTGTTTTCTTGTCTGCAGTGTGGTTTGGTTTGGGAGACGCCTTCCGCTGTGCCAGCTGCCCCTACCGTGGGCTGCCGTGATAATTACAGTGCAACAATCTTGCTGTTGCTCATGCGTTGCCCGCATACCCCTCACTGCAGTGCGGTCTGGGAGAGGCCTTCCGCTGCGCCGGCTGGCCGTACCGTGGGCTGCTTTGGTCATTACAGTGTGTCGATCTCGCTGTGTTGCTCATGCCTTGCCCGCATACCCCTCACTGCAGTGCGGACTTGGAGACGCCTTCCGCTGTGCCGGCTGCCCCTACCGCGGGTTGCCGCCATTCAGGCTGGGAGAGAAGGTGAGAGGGAGGTAGGGTTAGGGGCGAAGGGGGACAGGGAAATTGTGAAACGGGGGAGAGGGGATGGGGGGAAGGAGAAACGAGTAGGCTGCCCCTATCGCAGGTTGCTGCCCTTCAGGCTTGGAGAAAAGGTGAGAGGCGGATTAGGGGCGGAAAAGGGAACATTGGGGCGATGGTGATGGGTGGGAGGAGTGGGGGGGAGGATCAGCGGAAGGAGAAGAGACCAGGCTGCACTTACCGCAGGGTGCATCTTTCCAGGGTGGGAGAAAAGGGGAGCAGCATATGAGGTGATGTATGTATGTCGGTGCTGTGTGGTATCGGAGGTGTGAGGTGAGGAAGAGTAAGTGTGCTGTGGCTGAGTGGTGGATTCGCCATAGGTTGTCCACCTTCCTGCTTTTCACATCAGTACTGCCGTCTCCACTGATGATGTCACTGATGATGTCACTGATGCTTATACTGACGGTAATATTGACGGTTGTATTTTCCTGCATTCCCCCAACCCAACAGTATTAATGTTAGTTCCCCTGCCGTGCTTTCCCATCTCTCCCACTTCTTTTCCTCCAGATTTCCCTTGACACGGCTCTTCTGTCTGCAGATGTCTGAGGTCCAACGCTTCGGTGGGGAGAATAACACCGGCCCACGTCTAAAGCAGCACCTAGCTTGTGGCATCAAGGTTTTCTTTCAATAAGAAGCATAGGCGGATGAGCTGCATGCTTGGTTGCACACATTGCAACATTCTTGATTGAAATTTGCCAGATTCTGAGAAGCTAAGTGTGCTGGACTGGGGAGGGGTGGTATCCCAGAAAGTTTCCAGGATACACAAGCAATCCAGACCTAGCACAAGCATGTACGATCCATCCCCTTGCAGCCCACTTACCTAGTATTGGGCTGACTGCAGCCCAGGG